GAAAAATAATGAGAGAAGGAGAATGATATTGGTTGTTTATTGACATTGTGAAACTACATTACAATGTGAAGGAGAATGATATTGGTTGTTTATTGACATTGTTAAAACTACATTACAATGTGAAGAAGAATGATATTGGTTGTTTATTGACATTGTGAAACTATATTACAATGAGAAGGAAAATGATATTGGTTGTATATTGACATTGTTGAAACTACATTACAATGTGACTTTTGACTTGCTTGCTAAATTGAAAGGAATACTAAAAAGTGCTGCTATGTATTACTTTTGAAAACAAAATAAATAAAAAATTGGAAATGTAAAACCTGCAAATAGGGATAGTAAAAAAGTAAGGAAATATGATCAAACTTTGGGAGATCCCCCTGGTTTATTTTAGACAAGTTATTTTTGTGATCTTACATTTTAAACCCAACTCTCACATTTTCATGAAAGTACAAACCTACACCTGCATAAATTTCTACATACAAGACAAGTATACACTACTAAAACAACAAACCTACACCTGTATAAATTTCTACACAAGACAAGTATACACTACTAAAACAACAAACCTACACCTGTATAAATTTCTACACAAGACAAGTATACGCTACTAAAACTACAAACTTACACCTGTATCAATTTCTACACAAGACAAGTATACACTACTAAAACAAAAAACCTACACCTGTTTAAATTTCTACACAAGACAAGTATACACAACTAAAACCACAAACTTACACCTGTATCAATTTCTACACAATACAAGTATACGCTACTAACCACAAACTTACACCTGTATCAATTTCTACACAAGACAAGTATACACTACTAAAACTACAAACTTACACTTGTATCAATTTCTACACAAGACAAGTATACGCTACTAACCACAAACTTACACCTGTATCAATTTCTACACAACACAAGTATACGCTACTAACCACAAACTTACACCTGTATCAATTTCTACACAAGACAAGTATACGCTACTAACCACAAACTTACACCTGTATAAATTTCTACACAAGACAAGTATACACAACTAAAACCACAAACTTACACCTGTATAAATTTCTACACAAGACAAGTATACGCTACTAACCACAAAGTTACACCTGTATCAATTTCTACACAAGACAAGTATACGCTACTAACCACAAACTTACACCTGTATCAATTTCTACAATTAATAGAATTAATATAATTATATTATAACCATTATTCACCATGAATTATCAATAAATTATAGAATACAAGTATTACACGTAAGATGAAAGTAGTTCACACGTATAATTATATTATAACCATTATTTACCATGAATTATTAATAAAGAATAGAATACAAGTATTACACGTAAGATGAAAGTAGTTCACACGTATAATTATATTATAACCATTATTCACCATGAATTATCAATAAAGAATAGAATACAAGTATTACATGTAAGATGAAAGTAGTTCACACGTATAATTATATTATAACCATTATTCACCATGAATTATCAATACAGAATAGAATACAAGTATTACACGTAAGATGAAAGTAGTTCACAC